ATTGTACAGTGGCATTAAGTGCCGAAATGTGCACCTCTGCCTACCCCTTCGGGGATAAAAGGCGTGATGTTATGTAAATGTATTACGAAAGAATTCGATAGTAAAATTTTGTACAGTTTGGTACGAATATCTTCAATATTAATAAAAGTAGGATATAATACATACGTACCTACATACTTATTCTACATGTGCTCGCGACAGATGTCACAGTCGTAATAAAACTTGGTCCTGATTCCCGCCGGATTCATGATACAACTCTTAAGTTGCGAAATCTTTACGTATTTACTCAACTTTGCTGGAATACATAAAGAATTTCTAACGAATACATAATGTAATATTATTTTATGTAGGTACTACTCAGTAATAATATTTATCTCCACGCTAAATAAACACGGCCATTACAAAAAAGAAGTTTAAAGCAACCACTTACAAAACGAGAACATTTTCAATTTAACAAAGTTCATTTGAAACAGTTTAAATACGCCGTTTATTTTATAAATAGCATAAAAATGTCAAACGTATTTACGACGTCGGCCAGTGGTATTATGTAGTACTTTTTGCAATAGTTGCGTCGGAACTATGCGCCTATTTGCGTCTGTGTTGTTGTGGTTTATTTACGTGTCGCAAGTGTTGAGGCCGTTCACTCGGCGCACGCGCTGGTAACGCCACAATCCGCACTCCAGAATATATTATCTAGACTGGAGCTGCGAGTCTACAATGCTGGAATGTTGGGCCATGGAATACCAACAGTAATATTTTTTTATTTACGTATAATTTTTGCTAAATGTCTGGCAAGAGCCGCATCACAAATATTTACATAGCTTTCGACTTTGCATTACAAATTGCATTACAAAAATAGAACTGATATGAATGAACACATGTTAATCTAAAAATGATACTTTTCCTATTAGGTACATCTCCCGTATTCATGACTCCTAAGAACTTCTTTCAAATGTGAATAATTTTGATCGAGCTGTTGGTAATTTTTCACTTCAAAACGTTGACATCTCTCTCCCGACATTACTGCTCTATGATAATCCAGCCGTCGTCGTCGGCGTCGCAACAACATCGCAACGGTGCTGTGCTGACAAATGACACGACTGTATCGAACCTACACCGTCGTTTGTCTTCATCTCTGGTGGAACGCCAGCTGATTATATCTCACTTTTTGCTAGTTACAGGAATAGCGGTATAACATTCCTTGTTTGCGTATACATCATGTAATCACTGTTTGTAGGAAATTGACAGACTAATTTATGGACAGGTTTTGCTTTAAGTAACAGCGCATTCCAACCTTCCTTCTACGAAGCGACCGCGACGTACGAATTATGATCATTCCATTAAAGGTTTTCTTTGTCCACAGGTCCGTCAGGAATGTGGTCCTCCAGCCACAATGGAAAAGCCTGGTACATCTTCAGCCTTACCCACAGCTGGTCCAATCCGTCGTGACAACCTTCGAGCGCCACCACCAGACACTGAACTCCTGCAGTTCGCTGCCACCCTGGCATCCACTAAGAAACTGTTCGCTGGACTCTCAGATAGGATTTGTGATGAACCAGATTTTGCTGCTGATGATAATGAGAAGTGTTGGAATGGGAACGCTGTTGCAGAGTGAGTAACTTTATATTGATCTTGTTAACGAGCAGAACAATTCTGTAGATATTGATCTCAGATTCGTCTCATCTGATTGAGGAACTGCCATCAATTTCCTGAAACATAAATATATTTAATAATCTCGCCTGAATAGTCTAGCGTACCTGAAAACTGAAACCTTGTTTGTATTCATACATATGCTGTACGCGACATCCTGCATGCTAATTTAATTTCAATTTCGAACACATAGATATCAAAGCTGGGAACATTTTGTCACGCAGTGTTGTTAGAATATTAAATCGACCTAGTTAATGGTTTAGTTTACGACTTTGGCTAAAATCTTTATGTATACCCGGATTTCTCAACACGCTTTTAGTAAATAATATCAGTACCAACAGCAGCAACATATAGCAAATAATACAAAATAATGGAACGGGGCCTCTCAGGGGTACTTCGTTCATAAAGGTTATCGAAGAAAAAGCGTGACTGCTAAGTAAGGGTTCGGTTTGCATTCCCGGGTTGAGTATTGTCGGGGTTAATGGCACAGTTTTGTGAGAATGCTTAAGAACTATGTGCTTGGCAACCGACCCTATAGGTATATGTAGAATTTTCCTCAGACATAAACACCTCTGCTAACCCTTTTTTGGAAAATAAATAATGATATGATGTTAATGTAATGGTGTAATTTTACCCATAGTTACACAAAACCAGTGGTAGCGTCCGCCTCACTGAGTGACCAGAAATACAACCCGGAGATCAGCGGCAGTCCGCCACAGGACTCGAGAGTCGCCAGCTTAGGAGACAGACTGCAGCAAGCTAGACAGGTGAGGACACGTATGATGTAACTAAAAATTATCATAAGGAAAATCTACAGAGGTTTTTTTATGGGATAAGCTGGTAAACGAGCATACGGATCACCTAATGGTAAGCAACGGCGCCGCCCATGAACACCTGAAACACCAGAGGCGTTACAACTGCGTTACCGACTTGGGAATTTGAGGATTGTAGGAGATTCGGGGACTTGGGAGGTAGCGGGGGAGGTAGCCTCACTCACGCGACGAGACTCAACGCAAGCGTTGTTTCACAACGGTTTTCTGTGAGGTCGTGGTATCACTCCGGTAGAGCCGTGGCCATGCCATATAGTCCAGCTGTGTAACTGTCATAGGCTGTTCATGACGATCATGATAGTAGATTATATAGATAGATAGATAGATAGAAAATAATCTAGTATCAAGTTGGTTAAAGTATTTTAACTAAGTATCGTCTTTCATGATTATCACTAACCAATTGTTTTGGTTTTGTGGGGCTTAAATTATAACATACTTACCTGTGTGATTTAATAATAAATAAATAATAATGATATGGCCTTAAAAATTGAATCGGCGTGAATGCTTCAGACGACAATTTTCTAGGGTCACTGACGTCCTTTTATTAATTATTGTTGACAGTCACAACAAATGCAGGCGGTGTCTAACTATAGCACATCTTAATGACAATATCTAACTTGTGTGTTAATAAAATAACCATTAGTTTAACAAGGAAGCTTAAATCAAAGACCGACATCAAGTGACTCAATCAAGCTATGATTTAGACGTTATACCTACTCGAGAATGTTTCTGTTTTAATACTAGTCATAGTTTAGTGAAATAACTTTTCGGTACTCTGAAATACTATAAACTAAGTTTAGACTGTTATGAGCTGTTATGGGCCTGTTAAAGTCAAAATCAAAACTTCAAGTCAAAGTTGAACTGTCCATCAGTTTGTCTGTGGTGTAGATTAGCTTTGAAATAGGAATAAGTAGATTTTTACCTTGATTTAAATTGCATAGTGGAACTGATAAAATTCATTCGTTGCCAGAGTCTGTATTTTCAAAAGCGTGTGCATACATTGGGTGTCTTAAAGGCCCGAGTGAATAGGTTGCTTATGAGGCGAAGTGATCTATCGTAGACCGCGTCATCGCTTACCAGGCGAGATAGTGGTCAAACGTCAGCCCATCAAATATAAAAAAAGAACTGATAAGTTTGTGAAGATTCGACCAGGTGCGATCACATACTACTCCCTCAAATATTCGTTTGTATGCACATTGTACCTATTACTAAAATATTTAAATTAAAATCCCTCCTCATTAGCAACCAATCCGTTTCGCTTCACAAAACCCGCACTAAATATAGTAGGTACGTATTTAAAACTACTTCGCGCCAAAGAGTGCAAGCCAAGACAGCTGCGAATGGGGTCACGATTCTCAACAATGAGGAATACTGCCCTGGAAAACAAAATGTCGTGTAACAATACTTAAATATACAAGCTTCTTGAAAATAATAAATAGTCGCCGTGCCAATTGTTTGTACTAGCGGTAGTAACCACAGTGTATTGTGAAATTATACGTAACGTGACCTCCTCTTGAAATAAAAATAAAAGTTGTTTCAGTGGTTGGGATATTTTGGTAAACAACACCCTAGCCAGCTTGGAGAGATCTATTCAATATGAATTGATTTATTTCATGACGAATCAACAACTACGTTATACAATTTTAAAAGAATAAATAGTACCGAACCGAATTAGTCTAATTATCACCTCTCGGCTGGTCAAATAGCATTAAATCCCGTTTTAAGCCGGAAGCCTATTTACCCTAGGGTACTAAGATGTACATCTTATTGCTACGGGCACAAACACCATTACAAAAATAATTAAATTAAAAATAATTACCTAACATAATGAATTCGAATAGACACAAATAACAAAAAGTAGTGCGAAGCTTTGTAGATAAGAAATAAATTTATTTGAACAGGAAGGAAACGCGTAATTAAAGATGTCATTAAAAACGTTAACTTGTGTAATTGTAGGAGGGAAGCGCTCGGGGATCCGTGTTTGTGGCTAATTGATATCCACCTCTTCATTTATCTACTTACGAACCATTAATAAAGAAGGGTTTCAAAAAGTAAAAAAAACTTCTAAACCACTCCGAAGTAACGCTTCGTTTGGTGCACTGCTTTGATTGCGAAGTTCAAGCAAAAAGTATAATTGAAATTTTCTACAGCATAAATCCTCGGTTATGGGCTATAACTGAGAATTTATGTTTTGTTGTTTAGAAGACGAGGTACTCATTGTTACTGCCGAGAATTTAGCCTTAAATCAAATAATTTCATAACCCTCTTTCTAATAGTTTCAGCTCCAATACGTAGGCATTCAATTAAATTTTAATTGCTGTCAATTTGATCACCCAACAGTTGTCCAAGAGTCTGTGGGAAGTGAAAACTGCAACTTTATTATTGTGTTTGTTTTCACAGTTGCTAGTATCATATTCCCGCACCAAGGAGCTCTCTGCGGAGGCCTTCATGCAAGGAGACGAAGCAGGAGAGGAAGGGTCAGGATCTGGTCGCAGCTATCCTGATGACTACGACTCTGAAGGATCGGGAGATGACGGCTCCGGTGACCATGACGGACGTAAGTATTCAGTCATTATATTCTAATGTAAACTATGTGTAAACCTTATATTTGAAAGTATCCTCCACTCATTCCACGCTAATCAAAATTAGTAACAATCTTACATGTATGACCAAACTTTGACTAAATTATTGTTTGTTTGTCCACAACAGAAAGTAGACCGGATCTGCACGAGTCCCCTCCGGACTCTTCAACACCGAAGGTCTTCAACGGCGCTAGTCCTCGACACAGCGCGTCCCTACTGGTACCGCTACTGTGCGCACTGGTCGCATCCATCGCACGACTCACCTAGGCCTCGTCGCAGCGCACGTAAGAATAACCATATCATTTTGTGTGACGTCATGAGTGATCGTGTGTTTGACTGCCGCGCACGGAGCTCGGCCTCTCGTGCTGTCTCGCTCACACGTACGAGCGAGCCCGCTGTGCGAGTGCGAGGAACATAGTGTAGTGACGCAATAAAAGACACGTGAGTGATGCGTAGTGCGAGCGTTCGTTGTAGCTAGTCCTGAACTACGGTAGTACCCGTCGCCAGATTTCCGCGTATTTACAAAGATGTTTGATAAGATTTTATAATGAAATCTCGTAACGATGCACGCGACATCTCGTTGCATATAAGGTATTTTAACGTTTGTAAATGTACAGTGCATATCCCAGTTAATGTACAGTGCATATCGATGTTGTCTTCATTTTGTAAATATTTTTTTGAAGATTCTTCTTAGACTTAGGTGAAAATATACATTGTAATGGAAGCTCTGCATTTAAAAATTTCGACGTGAAATTGTGAAGTTTATTGTCATAATAATTAATAAATTATTTGAAAGTCTTTAATCATTGTTGAACACTAGCTGATTGGCAATAATTTTATTAAGAAAATGTATAACGATTAGAAGCGAGTGAGAACTCTTTAATAAGGATTCTGTGTACAGATTGTGTAAATACCTGAAATCCTACTGGTCTAGGTGCTTAGCTAGTAAATATATTTCGTTGCCATATTAATATTACGGATATTATTATTTATAATATTAATTAAGTCATAATTTAAACTAATATTATGTTATGTGATACTGATTAGTTGATAAGTTGGTGCACTCGATGCACTGTATTGTTTATATACGGTTTGTTCGAGCATTATATAGCTGATTAAGTATTTAAATCCAACATCTAAATGCAAATACAAAGTTCCAACATAACAAAGTTTAAACGATATTATTATAAATAGCTGTACGTTTGTTGTGTATACATTGTTTACTGCAGGCCTAAATACCCGTGTTTATTCTGTCTACAAATATATAATTTCTATATAATACACAAGTAAATGTAGGATCAAACAAAATGACAAGATGAGAAAATATAAAATAAAAATATAAGTTATATTGTAGCAATAAACTACGTTTGTAAATTGCTTTAAAGATTAGTGAATATATAAAGTGTTGCGGTCATGTAATGGCTGCGGTCTGTATGTATCGTAGATAATATGGAGAGTTATGTGAGGACCATTTGGAATGTACGGACATGTCGCTACTCGCTACCGCCGTAATACAGTAACCAGTTGCATAGCTATAGGCATTGCTGTTTAATGACTTGCGAAATTTCTAACGTCATTAAGATTTGACACAAATTGTCAAGTTTCTAAAATAAATTTAGTTGGAAATCAAAACCACTACCCCTATGTCTATGGCTCTAGTTTCAAATTTATTGTCTTATTTTCTATATCATATTATATTAAACAAGTAAATGTGCTTCTACATGTATAAACTGTAAAGAAATATTGATTTTAATCATTTTTAGTGCAGTGGACCTGAAATTAAACATTGAACGATATATGTACATCACTAATCCGACAAATAACAACTATCAAAGACAGTTGACATAAGAGACGTTTGATTCTATTTTCGAAAATGAAATTTTAATTTATTATTGTTATTCGATTTGGATAGTACGATATTATTATGGTCGACTGTACCAAAAATAATGACAATGCCCAAGAATATGGTCTAAAAATTAAATTTGTAAAATTACATAAATCTTCTGACTGTCTGCTACGTTCTAGAAGTATTTTTGTAACATAAGAAATTCTCAAAAACACGTGACATATACATATAGCGAGCCTCAAAAAAATGGTATTCACAAGTCATTTAGCAATAACCCTGTGTATTAAGTTTGAAGGAGGTTGTCCAAGAAGTTTTCGCGTTTGATCCGAACTCCGGCCCCTTGACCGAGAAACTCGAGTATGTTGATCAGTTTCAAGTGTCGTTTTAGGAAATTGCGCTCTTCGGGATAACGGGGAAAAAGTTCACAACCTTGACCGATATTATCGAGAACAAATTACAAATAACAACAACTAAGTTGGTGTTATTGTCTTGTTTTTAATAGATTTTTTTTTATCCCAAGATAAAAGACAAAATATTTAGTCACTTAAAAAAGGAACGTATATATTCTTCTATTCGATTAAAGCGCAAAAGTAAATGTTGATACGCAAAAGAAGATTGTTCATCTTATCACATCTCAACCTTTCAAAGTACGTAGCGTTTATTGTAAAGAGAGGCGCATAGTACGCGCGTACTACGCGGCTCGGAATTACATAAACCATACAACGTATCGCTTTTATAAAGGCGGAACAAAGTGTAGCGACATGAAACCGAAAACTCAATGTAAATATTGTTGGAGAGTATATAGAGTGGAGTCGAGACAATTGCTGTTATATCTGAGTATATAATATGGAAATAAATTCTGTACTATACGCGCTCTTGTTTTATTGACAACCCTAAAACTTTTATACAATTTACATATTCCTTGAGTTACGACCTTACTCCTATTCCTTTTTATGTTCGCAAATTTAGCAATGTCGACTATATTCCAGTTGTAACAAACTGAAACATATATTTTATGGAAATCATTCACGGATGTTGCTATGTACTGTTTGGTAACAAATTACTATGTGACTTCAAAGGAAAAAGGGTTTTCCGAGCCGTAGCTTTCAGTTCAATTTGGAAAGATCTAATTTCATGTGAAGGTACAAAAGAACAAATTGGTAAGTAATAAATAAACATTAAAAAGAACAATAATTGTAAATTGTGGTACGAATACCGTCACAGGTTTAAAGACAATCTTGGGACTTGACTGATTGCATGTGACCATCTCACACCTAAGTGGTAAGGTTATCGAGAGACCAACAAAATTGAAATCCTACGGTACCTATCACAGAACAGATAATGTGTTCTGTGATAGGTACCTGACCTACTGTTTCCATAATTGACATATTTTTGTTAAGTAAGCGATGTGTAAGCAAGTGTTGTAAGCGAGCTAAAATCTCATTCTGTCGCTCTCGCAGAATTTCAGCTAACTGAAAGATTTGAGAATTTCCAAGGAAAACGATGCCACATTCTCAGAATCTGAATTATAGAAAATCACGTGAAATAATTCTATTGTATGACAATACCAGTTAAGTTTATCCATTTAGAGAATACAGCGTCAAGTAAACAATATAAAAAGCTTTTAGTGCTAAAGTTTTAAACGCTAAAACGTGTTACTAATCTCCTCCATTTTTAATGAAACTCCAACTCTTGTAAAAATAACAACTGTTTTTTAATTTATTTCAAGCTTAGGTACTGAAGCTCGCGCTTTGTTTAAAAGGTCTGTTTGCATAAGCTTTACTGAACCTAACAAAGACTTATTTTTACATAAAACTGTATAACTAGAAAGAGTAAAAGCAGCAAAAACAAATATCAGCTAAGCTTGAATATCGAACAATCTCTTGTAGAGAACTATAGATTAACAATGGAATATTTGTTAATGCCTATGACATTTTTTGAGTGGGCAGAATCATCTAATGTTTTCTCCCACCCGGGTCAGGGCGAGAGAGAGCGTCAGACTCTTACTGACTAAAACCACCCCGTTCCTACTCCTGCACTTCGAGCTGGAGCCCGGGCAACCCGCTAAGTCTTTCGCAGCTATGCTGATGACGATGCTATATAAAATTTACTAAGTGCAGTAATTTCATTACCCAAAAGCAGGTTCACATAAAATACTAAACCTAAAACGAGATATACACTAAATATTAAACACTGCAGGAGCCCTAACAACATGCAGAATACATATGGCACATTTTGACCCAGTTACACCTATATGTATAGGGGTACAGGCAGAGTATATTATACGTGAACACAAAGGACGGTTCTAAGTACATTGTGCTAACGATAAAAGAACGCGCAGCAGATACGAACCGTTGCATACGACGCATTGGGAGCACACCTAACTCCGGTGACTCAGATGAATAAGTAAATGGAGTACTCGTTAATGTTATTAATCGGTTCACTTAACCTCTGACTACACTCATGTGTCAGACAGATTACCTTGATTCATAAAAATCGCAGGAAATCTCATTGACTTGAAGATTTAAGTAACATAGATTTAGTTATTCGGGATTTTTTTAATGTTGGGAATGATTTCTGTCTTCTAAACAGTTTTGCTAGTACGGTTACTTCGTTGGCCCTCGACATGGCCGCTTCATTTGCTAACTCCTCTATGGCGGCACGGTGGCCCAGTTTCGGTATATTTTATTCATAGAGACCATTGTACGGTGTGCAGTCGACGCGGCGTCATAATAACCAGTAATGTCTCTCTACCAACGCTTTTAACGTTATGAAACTCAACTACGATATAAACAATGCACTTGCATTACAATTGAATATTCAAGATTCAGCAAAAGTACTCAAAACGATGTAAATGAAAAAAAATTCTATATTTCAAAAGGTATTTATTTATAATTTTTCTTTCAGTAAGTATTGATCCGTAAGAAATAGTAATGTTACAAGCAACGCCTGACCTCTGCGATCCCAAGAGACTGATAGTTTTTACCAAAAAGAAAAAGTTTCGATATTTCTTTAGCAGCTATTTTCTTGTATTCTCTAGAGATGTGATGTGTCGTTAAATAAATTCCGTCAAAGCGAAAAGAAAACTATACTTTTGCTAGGAATTAGGAGCTTCATAAAACGATTAGAGTATTTCCTTGCTTATGTATTGTGCCATGTCTGAGAGGCACGGTACATATCCTCTATGTTATAAATGGGTTCATTTCAGGCCAAGGTTATGTCCACCCTATCCGACAATCAGTAAATATGTTTTACGGGGGTTAAGGCAATAAGGGGTTGTGAAATGTAGGAACAAATTTAATTATCCTATCTTCATAAATTATTTAATTATTTTGAAACAATTATTTTTATTTCGGTTTAATATCTTTTATTGTATTGTTTTAAAACTGTGTGACAATATATGCATTTAAATTTTTGACATATCTTTGACGTTATTCGGAAACCGCCTTGCTTATAAGCCAAAATTAATGTAATTCGATTATTATTATTATTTTTCGTGTATGTGATTATGTTTTCGTAATGTGAATTTGCTTGTCTCTTTTTTTGTACCTATATTAAATTTCAGACACAATGAAAATAAATGAACGAATGAATAAATATTAAAATCTAGCCACCGAATTATCCAAATATCAAAACTTACGAATTCAAAAACCATTACAAAACCTAAATGTTGATACAACACCTCCACAGCCCCAACTATGCAATAGGGAATAATCCAGAATATCGGTAAGCAAGATTACTTGGAATGAGTACTAATAAAACCGAAGCGAAAGTACCACATAAGTAAGTTCCAATACATTTGGTATCTCTTAGTGTATCGTCTGGGAATCGGGCAATCGAATCGAATAACGGATAGAATAAGTCAAGAGCTGTATCAGACGGCCATTTCACGGATCATTTAGTCCGAGGTCGAGCGGCTCCACTCAATTTGTACAATTGCTTACATGAGCCCGCGGAACGTGCACCATGAACAAATAGAGTGCTAATACGAGAGTGAAACAAAAGACGCCCGTCTGTTGAAATAGACGGTGCACCTACGGAAACCACCTAAGTAGATGTGGTCTGCACAAACAAACAATATGTAGAAAGGTAACACGAATTCTGCAAAGGAATAGAAAAAGTATTCTTACACGTTTAATTAAAACATTCGTGAGACATATTAATTAATTCTTATATGTTTTCGGCTTACTCGCGTAACTATTGCGTTGTTTTAACGCGCGTCGCGGGTCGCGGAATGCTGCTCATGAATATGAGCCTCTAGCATGGCTTGAAACTAGTCGAGTTCCTCGTCAAACAGTTACGGGAGTAAGCCGAAATCATAATAATTAATAAGTATTTTTACAATTTTACTTTTTAATGAAAAAAAGAAACTAATACATTAATAAGTACTTTCAACTTACTTACATTAGTATATGAAAAACTCAAAATTTCTAACCCGAACTGCATCCAATACACCAAAACCTTTAACGATATCTATCACACAGACCCTCTTGCAGAAAAAACCGACAAAGACCGATACAAAATTACATTATCAGAATATTTATGTGTAAAATTAGCATTCTGAAGTTGCTCACTTCATGTTTCCGTTCAGTTAGCGGTACCTTAACGTTATCTATAATCAATACGCACTCATTGCCTTTCAATTTGTTCGTGAAGATGCATCAATCAAATTGCGCAATACTTTCTACCAATAACTTTTATGAGCTTTATGAACATGAATAAATTACTAAACGCTTATGATATGAATGAGATTGTGCTCATAGTGGCACGAATGTTGTATTGTTGTATAAGATATTTTATATCTACCTATTCCTGATTTTAGTCGCGGAGAACCTAACGGGTAACCGGGGCTCCGGCTCGACATGCAGGGGAAGGAACGGGGTGGTTTTTAGTCAGTAAGAGTCTGACACTCCCTCCCGCCTCACCCAGGCGGGAGGAGTCACTTGATGATTTACCCCCTTAAAAAAATATCTCCTAGGTTCTTTGACTAAGTGGACAATAAGTGGTAACTAACAATATTGCCATTTAAATATGCATAGTTTGCCATTTTATGGAGATGTCATTGTTGCCGAAATTACTGATTTTAATCCTATTATGGATCGATCTAAGTTTTTGACAGACGATTCGATGGATCTTACCTAGCCCAAAAATTTTGGATTGCTTTTTTTTAAAAAAAAACCCATTCTAGTATTTTCTTCTGTGTCGTGGGTGCGTTTACAAACATAGTTCACATACACATGACACTCAGACCCGAAACAACAATTTGTGGATCACATAAAGAGTGAATCTGTGCGGTAATCGAACCAGCTGCCCGTTGCATGGCAGCCAGTTGCCCAGCCACCGCACCAATCGTGCAGTCAATTGCATTAAACAAAACAATTTACCAGCATGTAGGTACTTGCTAGACAAATTATGTGCGTGCATAAATATTCAAATTTCAATCAAACTGATTGGACATACATAGCTGATTAATAGATGTAGCCGAATTGTACAATAATGCGAAACATTAGTTGAAATGTGTTCGATGGAATATCGCGTAGGTCCATCACTTTGGGAATGTTGTAAATGATGTACGGATAATGTTAAGTCTATTAATCATAGTAATGTTTATAATGAAGCCTATGTGTTCACAGTTACTGTTTTGCATCCACCTACATTTACATGTACATACGAGCTATCGGAGCTATGCATAACCAGTTCATTAAGGTCTCCCTTTATACGATCTTTCCTCATATTCGACGGTCTGTTTATACTGGTTTTGCATAGCTTGATGTGTAGTGACGGGTAATTTTAATAAACACGATTGCGGTCTTAAGCCAAAAGGTCAAAATACTTAGGTAAGAATGTTTTAGATTAGCCTTTTACAATA